CACGTATACACGCACCGTAGCCTCTAAAATTCTAAACTCTAAGCACTGAACGCGTTTCAGGGGGTTTAGGCAAGGGGTTTACGGTTTGGGGTTCAGGGTTTCAGGCTTAAGGTGCGGGGTTCAGCATGTCAGGCTTCGGGTGTTGGCTGCTTGCAGGATGCGAGATGCCCATCAAGATGAGTGCCGAAAGGGCTTAGGTACTGTATGCAGGAAAGCGCCCGGTCTCCTTGCATTGTGGGTACTTCTGGGTTCTAGAACTGTACTCAAGATTTGGGGTATGTGTGTAAGCGCGGGGTACGGGGGATGGTGGGAGGGCGGAGGGAAGTTTACTTTAGTTTGCAAAGTAATTTGCCGGGCTGCTTGGGGGTTGTTGAGGGTACCAAGCCCAAAACGGCGAAGTGGGGAGCAGTTGGGTTCAGGGGATTTAGGGTTTAGGGCTTCGGGTTTAAGGTTTAGGGTTTACGGTTTAGGGTTTAGGGTTTAGGGTTAGCCCCAATCCTGCGCCCAAAGGCGCCTTGCAGCGCCATGTCGTAGAGTGGGGCGAACTGGCCATCAGGTACCTTGGCCTCCACCTGCAGCTGGCGAGCCCCACAGAGCGGGGGGGGTTTGGTTAAGGGCTACAAGGAGGGAGCCCAAGAAGGGACCCTTAATCTTCTTCCCCTAGAAATCCCCAAATCTCCCTAAACCCTAAACCCTAAACCCTAAACCCTAAACCCTAAACCCTAAACCCTAAACCCTAAACCCTAAACCCTAAACCCTAAACCCTAAACTTCGAACATCCCCACCTTACGGATATGGATCTTTCGGGCACTCCAGGGAGTCTCTGAGGGAGTCTGGGCACTCCAGAAACTCTCTCTAGGGTTGGGCACTCCAGGGAGTCTCTAGGAGTAGACCGGGCGAGGAGAAGAGTTCCCGGCGAGGAGAAGAGTTGAGTTTAAAATCTAACAACCCCACACCGAAGGTGGGGAACAAACCCTGAACCCTAAGCCCTAAACCCTAAACCCTTAGAAGGGTCCCTCCTTTAGTCCCTTGAGCTGGGGATACATGGCTCATGACTCGGGGCTCGGGGCGCTGTTAGTGTCAGCACGCCTCACCTCAATGAGACACCCTGGACCCTAAACCCTGAACCTTAGACCCGAACCCTAACCCCTAAACCCTAAACCCTAAACCCTAAACCCTGAACCCTAAACCCTAAACCCTAAACCCTGAACCGTAAACCCTAAACCCTAACCCTAAACCCTAAACCCTAAACCCTAAGCCCTAAACCCTAAACCCTAAACCCTAAACCCTAAACCCTAAACCCTAACCATCCTTGGCGCCTCGAGGAGCGTGGCCTTCCGGGTGCCCGTGAGGGTGGCGAGAAGTATCTCTGCACTCCCCGCCTGCTCCTCCTCCGAGCTTTTGGGGTTTAGGGTTTGGGGTTTAGGGTTGAGGGTTGAGGGTTTAGGGTTCAGGGTTTGGGGTTTAGGGGTAGGGTTTAGGGTTTAGGGGTAGGGGGGGGGGGGGGGGGGGGGGGGGGGGGGGGGGGTTCGGAGTTTTGGGGTTCAAGGGTGCCTGACCTAAAAACGAAAGACGGTTTAGGGTTAGGGTTTGGGGTTTAGGGTTTAGGGTTTAGGGTAGGGTTTAGGGTTAGGGTTTAGGGTTTAGGGTTTAGGGTTTAGGGTTTAGGGTTTAGGGTTTAGGGTTTAGGGGTTAGGGTTTAGGGCTTAGGGCTTAGGGCTTAGGGCTTAGGGTTTAGGGTTTAGGGTTTAGGGTTTAGGGTTTAGGGTTTAGGGTTTAGGGTTTAGGGTTTAGGGTTCGTTCGAGGGCCCCCCGGAATTCGTGCGAGTTGAACATGTCGCAGCTGCCTTCGCGGGCGATGCTAGGACTTGGCCCCCAAGTCGCAGCAGTCCCCTTGCTACGAACTCTGCGTCGCTGGTGGAGACCCTCCATCACACCTGTACAATCCCGGACTCTAATGAAAAGGCATATTTCTCACGGTGGGAATAGGGACAGGTTGAATAAACAAAAGGCTCAATAGGGTTTAGGGCTTAGAGGGCTTGGGCCCCTAAACCTCAAGCCCGAACCCCTAACCCTAATTTTTAAACCCTAACCCCCCCCCCCCCACACATGTGAGAGTTGACCCCAACTTCTGGACCCTTTCAGGGCCTCCATTCAAAACACTTTCCGAACTTGTTGGGGGTTTAGGGCTTAGGGCTTAGGGCTTAGGGTTTAGGGTTTAGGGTTTAGGGTTTAGGGTTTAGGGTTTAGGGTTTAGGGTTTAGGGTTTAGGGTTGAGGGCGGTGCGCTGTGGGGCCTGTGTTTTTTTTTAGTGTTTTTGCAGGGCACAAGTGTTTATAAAGCAGGTGTGCATGCACATGACACTCTTTATCCTGGATACTCTATATTTACAAGCACGCGCGCATACACAGGATAATAATTTAAAGCCTTTAAATTCCTTTAAAACCTTTAAAATTTAATTGGAGAGGCCTTCAAATAAATTTTAAAGGGGAGGGGCCCCCTTTAAAATCTTTAAATCTCCATTTAAATTTAAATGGTTTTAACGGGCTTAAAGCCCTTAAATTCCTTTAAAACTTGTAAAATTTATTTGGGGAGGCCCCCAATTGAATTTTAAAGGGGACGGGCCCCCTTTAGAATCTTTAAAAACTTTAAAATTTACTTGGACCTCCATTTAAATTTTAAAGGTTTTAAAGGAATTTAAAGGCTTTAAAAACCTTTAAAACCTTGAAAATTTAAATGGAGGTCCAAACAAATTTTAAAGGTTTTAAAGATTTTAAGGGGGCCCACCCTCTTTAAAATTTAATTGAGGGCCTCCCAAGTAAATTTTATAAAGGAATTTAAAGGCTTTAAAACCTTTAAAACCATTTAAATTTAAATGGAGGTCCAATTAAATTCAAAGATTTTAAAGATTTTGAAGGGGGGGCCCGCCCCTTTAAAATTTAATTGAGGGCCTCCCCAAGTAAATTTTAAAGGTTTTAAAGGAATTTAAAGGCTGTAAAACCTTTAAAACCATGTAAATTTAAATGGAGGTCCAATTAAATTTTAAAGATTTTGAAGATTTTAATGATTTTAAAGATTTTAAAGGGGGCCCGCGCCCTTTAAAATTTAATTGGACCTCCATTTAAATTTTAAAGGTTTTAAAGGAATTTAAAGGCTTTAAAACCTTTAAAACCTTTAAAATTTCAATGGAGTTCCAATTAAATTTTAAAGATTTTATATCCAGGCATCTGGGCGAGGAGGGGGGGGGGGGGGGGGGGGAGGGGGGGGGGGGGGGGTGGGGGGTGGGGTGTTTGGTTCTCCACCGCCACCCCACACACCCCACCCACCCCCCCCCCCCCCCTCCCCCCCCACCCACCCCCCCCCACCCTAAAATGAACCATAAGAAATCAAGTTAACCTTACCTAACCAGGAACGTATGACAGTCAACCACGCCCATCTAACCTTAGTATAGTTCAACTACTTAACTTCGCCCATCCAACCTCAACAACGGAATCTTCACGAAGAGCCCCCCCCCCTCCCCTCCCCCTCCCCCCCACCCCCAAAGAATCAATGCTTATAAGCAAGCCATCTGCTTATAAGCAAACCCTTCCTCTACACAAAAACTCTATAAAAATGAACCATAAGAAATCAAGTTAACCTTACCTAACCAGCAACGTATGACAGTCAACCACGCCCATCTAACCTTAGTATAGTTCAACTACTTAACTTCGCCCGTCCAACCTCAAACAACGGAATCTTCCACGAAGAGCGTTAAAAAAAACACAGGCCCCACAGCGCACCCTTCTGTTAGGGTTTAGGGTTTAGGGTTTAGGGTTTAGGGTTTAGGGTTTAGGGTTCTCCCTAAACCAAAAAACCTTCGCCGAAATTCAGACAGAAGGGGCTCCTCCCGGCTGAGGTCGATGGCCGGCTTGCGGCCTAACCTTGCTTTTTGGGCGCTGACAGGGTTTAGGGTTTAGGGTTTAGGGTTTGGGGTTTAGGGTTTCGGGTTTAGAGTTTAGGGTTTGGGGTTGGGTTTAGGGCTTCGGGTTTCGGGTTTAGGGTTTAGGGTTTAGGGTTTAGGGTTTAGGGTTTAGGGTTTAGGGTTTAGGGTTTAGGGTTAGGGTTTAGGGTTTAGGGTTTAGGGTTTAGGGTTTAGGGTTTAGGGTTTAGGGTTTAGGGTTTAGGGTGCAATGGAGTTTTTCTTACCAATACCAAATAAACATGACTGATGAGTTTGACCAGTTTTTGTCAAGTCGAATGGCATTTAACAGCCCTAAACCCTAAACCCTAAACACTAAACCCTGAAACCTAAAACCCTAAAACCCTGCTACCACTATGTTCTCCTGATCCGGAGAGTCATCAAGATCGGTGACAACTCCAAATCAAGCGCCATTTGAGGATAACAGCTAGCGCAGGTTTTTATCACGGTCATGCTAACCTGGCTTTTCAAAAGTAACATTCTTTTGATTAAAATCACCTGCTTCTTGATACTTGCCCAATTCGAAATGAATGTTGCAAGTGTGTTCAGGGCTTTCTTGAGGTTCAGGGTTTCAGCTGTTTCGGGTTTGGGGGTTTCAGGGCTTCAGGGATTTTGGGGTGCAGGATTTCAGGCGCAAGGGATTTTGCAGCTTCAGGGGCCTTAGGGTTTAGGGCTGCTAGGCCGCATGATGAGGGCTGAAAAGGGCTCAGGGCTCAGAATTTAAAGGCTCTGGATGTAGGGTTCTAGGGTAGGCTGACCCTTTAAAAACCCTTTGAACAAGATGCCGGAAGATCATCCTCTTAAACCCAACAAAGGAAAGCATAAAGCATGTCCCAAAAGGGCCTACCTAGCAGGGTCAAGAGCCGGTAGTCTTGTCTTGGCGGCCCGCTCAGCATCTCCGCGTTCCGTTAGGTGGGCGATCGACCCTAAGCCAGCCAGTTCTGGGACCCGTCGCAGCCAGGTCTCCGACCGTGGCTGGAAACCGAGCGTCAAACATGCCTTGCCAGCAGTGGCAACGCAGCATCCGGCGGTGAGAAGACAGTCGGGAACTTAGGAAAGTAGGGGACCCTCAATATAGAGCCCCAAATAGTAGGACTTATAAAGAAGGACCCCCAATAAGGTACCCCTAATGTCGGCAACGCCCTCATATTCATACAAGCATTGCAAGCGTCGCCCCAAGTCAAGCGCGTCACTAGGCGTAGTTGTCTCCGATCATGGTGGCCTGCACGATGTTCCAGACCTTCAGGTAGGCATTCTTGACCGGCTCCGTAAACTCCGTCTGCAATGCGTCCTGCATCAGAGAGGGAGCTTTCTCTTGCTTGGGGACTTGCTTTTTTGGGGCACAAAAGGAGAGCGCCTACTCCTTGCTTTAGAAACCCCCAAAAAAACATATAGAATCATGATCCCTATCGTGCCCTTCTACGGAAGAATGTTTTGCATTTTTGGGGGGGTGGTTCTGGAGCAAAACCGCAAATTCTGGCACCTGTTATGGGACGGGGAACCCTCCCCTGACCTTAAGCCCTAAGCCCTAAGCCCTAAACCCTAAACCCTAAACCCACAAACCTGCCCCTGAGAGTTCTCCCTCCTCCAAGGTGGCAATGAAGGCTTGGCCAAGGATGTCGTAGTGGGGTGGGAGCACCTTGCGATCCAAAAGGGCCCTTGAAACGCTTTGAAACCCTAAACCCTAAACCCTAAACCCTTCCTAAATCTGATTTCTCTTCAACCCAATAAGGAACACATAAACGATCCCACGGGAGCACCTTGTAATTCACGTGTTGAAGGCCCAGCTTTTGCAGCACTGGCACCTGTCCAGCTGTTTGAGGTTTAGGGGTTTTGGGGTTTTGGGGGTTTAGGGGTTTCGGGTTTAGGGTTTAGGGTTTCGGGTTTAGGGTTTAGGGTTTAGGGTTTCGGGTTTAGGGTTCTCCGGGGTCACGCGGATCCTGGCTCCCTCTCGCGGGAGGTGGTGGGGTTGGTTCGACGGGTGAGTAACGGCTGCCTGGAAGAGATATCTGTACTTGGAGGTTCATGGTACTTATTACCCAATAATAACTGTACTTATAACCATATTAGGGCACTTAGGGGGCTTATAAGTACAGTTATAAGTACAGTTACAATTGGTTACTAAGTACCATGAACCTCCAAGTACCATGACTACTCTTTGCAAAAACCGCCATCTTGCTCTTAGAAGGAAGATGTTTTTGTGTTTTTGGGGTGGCTCTTAAGCGAAGAGTAGACTATGGTCTGTGTATGGCATGCCGACGTACAGTGCCTACAAGTTTAGGTTTTAGGGTTGAGGGTTGAGGGTTTAGGGTCTAGGGTTTCGGGTTTCGGGTTTAGGGTTTGGGGTTTCGGGTTGCGGGTCTCGGGTCTCGGGTTGCGGGTCTCGGGTCTCGGGTTTAGGGTTTAGGGTTTCGGGTTTCGGGTTTCGGGTTTAGGGTTTAGGGTTTAGGGTTTCGGGTTTCGGGTTTCGGGTTTCGGGTTTCGGGTTTCGGGTTTCGGGTTTAGGGTTTAGGGTTTAGGGTTTAGGGTTTAGGGCTAGGGCAGCCCACCAGGGTCTCCAGGTCCTTGAGGAGGGACACGGCCGTAGCCACCATGTTCACCACCCGGGCGCCATGCTTCTCCAGGCGGCTTCCCGGAAGCCACATGGTCCTAGGTTCCCCGTAAGATTTCATGTAGCCCTAAACCCTAAACCCTAAACCCTAAACCCTCGGTTCCCCAGCAACCATTGACCCATAAGACTTCATTTATCTTCAACGGAGCCCCGGTAGCCAGTAACCGAAAACAAGAAGGGAAACCACGACACCACGGCAGTTCCGAGGGTCTCCTCATCCCTGGCAAAGGAGAAGAGCGCCTTGGTTTCGGGCGCGATGCGGAAGAGGTGCCCGAAGAGGCTGCGCCCAGCGGCCTCCGGACCCACGGCGGTCACCTTGGCAAAGGTGCTCTGCACGAGCTCGATGTCGCGGTCGTCCAGGGGCGCGTCGACATCCACAGGAGGGCTCGCCAGGTCGAGGGGGATCTCGGGGGCGCTGATGGGGGAGCCGGCAGCCATGGCAGTGAGCCAGGGGCAGAGGACTGTCCGCCACCGGGGGAAAAAAAGAGCCCCCTTAAGGGGTGAAGAATCCTTGCGAAAATAGGAAGCCTACCTTACGTCAGGTATAGCTGTGTGAACAAACAATGCTGCACGTAATACCAGGACCTAGACAAGTAGCAACGCGTCATCCCTTGTGATCCCTTCGAACCCAAATCGGAACTACCCAAAACACCCACTCTGATGAAATTGGCCCTACTTCGTGATGCTCGCGCAGGCCGCGTGCAGCCAGCGGCTTCTTCTTGGAGATTCATGGTACTTATTAACCAATTATAACTGTACTTACAACTGTACTGAAAACCATATTAGGGCACTTAGGGGGCTTATAAGTACAGCTATAGGTACAGTTATAATTAGTTACTAAGTACCATGAACCTCCAAGTTGGCCATGGCACGCGCCCCCGAGTTGGGCCCCTGGCAGCCCGGCTGTGCACGCCGCCACGAGGTCGCGCATAGGGATGCCAGCGTCCGCCAGGGCCAGCGTCGCCTGTTTCAGGGTTTCAGGGTTTCAGGATTTCAGGATTTCAGGGTTTAGGGTTTAGGGTTTAGGGTAAGGTGGAGGGTTTCAGAGAAGCCCAGCAAAAGCCCAGCAAAAGCCCACCAAAAGCCCAGCAAAAGCCCAGCAAAAGCCCAGCAAAAGACCAGCAAAAGACCAGCAAAAGCCCCCAGCCTCCAAGACCTGGCCCCTTCTTGCGCTGAGAAGCGCAAGAAACTTCAAGCAAAGACACGAGCAACCTTTAACCCCCCGAAAACCCCAAAAACTGAACCCGACAACCCCAGACCCTGAACCTGAAACCCTAAACCCTAGGCCAAAATCGTTTGGGGTTTGGGGGGTAGGGTTCAGGGTTTAAGTTTCAGAGTTTGGGTTTTCAGGGTTCGGGGTTTAGGGTTTGGGGTTTAGGGTTTAGAGTTTAGAGTTTGGATTTCGGATTTGGGGTTTAGGGTTTAGGGTTTAGGGTTCAGGGTTTGGGGTTTGGGGTTTAGGGTTTAGGGTTTGGGGTTTAGGGCCAAGTCGCTGCGTTGATGGCGGCGGCCATGGAGCTGCCCTCGGCCTCAGGGCGGGGTTTGAGGCTTGGATGGTATCGGTTTGGGGAGTGGGTTTAGGGTTTAGGGTTTAGGGTTTAGGGTTTAGGGTTTAGGGTTTAGGGTTTAGGGTTTAGGGTTTAGGGTTTAGGGTTTAGGGTTTAGGGTTTAGGGTTTAGGGTTTAGGGTTTAGGGTTTAGGGTTTAGGGTTTAGGTTAGGGTTTAGGGTTTAGGGTTTAGGGTTTAGGGTTTAGGGTTTGGGTTTGGGGGTTTAGGGTTTAGGGTTTAGGGTTTAGGGTTTAGGGTTTAGGGTTTAGGGTTTAGGGTTTAGGGTTTAGGGTTTAGGGTTTAGGGTTTAGGGTTTAGGGTTTAGGGGGGTTAGGGTTTAGGGCTTAGGGTTTAGGGTTTAGGGTTTAGGGTTCAGTGTTCCGGCGCCCAGCGTGAACAAGGAATACAATGGGCGCCCTTTTTGGTTCCAAGGGGCCTATAAGGGGGAACCTAAACCCTTTAAACAGAGGGGGCCTACTCTGGGTGCTGGTGGGGATTCGGTTTAGGGTTTAGGAGGCAAGGTTTAGGTCCCCCGGTTTAGGGTTTAGGAGGCAAGGTTTAGGTCCCCCACAGGCTAAACACTGAAACCATCTCCCTAAACTTGGCCCTAAAGCTCCTAAACCCGGACTCAAAACTCCAAGCCCAAGAACCATCGGAAACCTGTCCCCCTAAACCCTAAACCCTAAACCCTAAACCCTCAAACCCTCCGACGAAACCCACAGTCGGTTGCCTGCAAGATCTGCACGTAGAGGCGAATTTGCGAGCGCGGGTACCTGGCGCAGGGCGCGCGTGGGGGGGGGGGGGGGGGGGGGGGACTTTCAGTTGCGGCTCTGGCTCGGGCTCCTCAGGGTTTGCGGTTCAGGGTTTAGGGTTTAGGGGTTTAGGGTTTAGGGTCTGGGGTTTAGGGTTTAGGGTTGAGGGTTTAGGGTTGAGGAAGTAGGGTTGAGGGAGTTGGGGTTGAGGGAGCAAACTCTCTGGAGCCGAGCGCCACCCGAAAACTAAAACCCTGAACAATTTTGGGTTTAGGGTTTGGGGTTTAGGGTCTATGGTTTCGGGTTTAGGGTGTAGGACTTAGGGTCTAGGCTTCCCACCCTTCAAGCCCCAAACCCTAAACCGCCTTAAGGCACTTAGCCTTCAGCCAAAACCTCAAAACCCCAAAGCCTGCACCCTAAACCCTTAAACCCTTAAACCCTAAACCCTAAACCCCAAACCCTAAACCCCTGAACCCCTAAACCCTTGAAGGCCCCTCTTCGAACATTGCCCAGGTGGCTGCTCCAGCAGCACGACGCTCTCAAAGGTCTGCTGGACCCACATGGATCGCTCCTGCGACCTAAGGGCTTTAGGGGTTTAGGGTTTGGGGTTTAGGGTTTGGGGTTAGGGTTTAGGGTTTAGGGTTTAGAGTTCAGGGCTTAGGGCCTGGGGATTTAGGGGCTTAGTGGGTTCCGAGGGTTTAGGGTTTTAGGGTTGGGCGTGTGGGTTCAGCGACCTTCTTGAGGGCGTAGGGTTGAGTCTTTAGGAAGACTTGCTACACCCTCAGCCATGAACCCTAAGCCAGTGACCCACATCGACTGCAGCGCTTACAAACAGAGAACCCTTTAAGCCCTAAACCCAAGCCTTTCAAGGGCCTCAGGCCCTAACAACCCCGCCCCCTTTAAAAAGAATGAAATAAAATAACTTAAATTAACATTTTGAACAAAAAAAAAAAAAGCAAGAAACCTAGGACGCCCGAAGAAACCCTTTAAAAAAAAAAAAAAACCGAATCCCTGGAGCCAAAGCCCCCACAAACCTCTCCAACCCTGACCCTAAACTCAAAACCCGCTGAACCCCCAACTCCTGAAACCCCAAAACCCTGCAACTAGTAAACTCAACACAATGTCTCAAAACTCCTTACCAAAACCCCCGCCCCCCTCACAATTCCATACCGTCACTGCGAACCGCAGGAAGCCAACCCCGATACACTAAGTTCTAGGCTAGCTACGTGGTTCCTCAATATGGGCCTGTGATTTTGGGGAAGCCTTGTATACCCCTGAAATACCCTTAAACACCCAAGAGTCAAATACTTCAAAGAAAGTAAGCCAAACCCCAAACCCCAAACCCCAAACCCCAAACCCAAAACCCCCCCAACCCCAAACCCCAAACCCAAACTCCCCCAACCCTAACCCTAAACCCTAAACCCTAAACCGCACTGAGTGCTCCGACTGCCGGTCTCCACGGCGGCCAAAGCTCCTGCCGGCCCAGAAAGGGCTGCAGTCGACCTCGGGAGGCTTGAAGGGATTGAGGGTTTAGGGTTGAGGGTTTTAGGGTTTAGGGCTAGGTTTAGGGCTAGGGTTTAGGGCTAGGGTTAGGGTTCGGGGGCTCAGCCAAGTGAGGTTTAGGGGTGTGGTCAGAGGGGTTTAGGGGTCCAGCCAAGTTGGGGATTGATTTAGGGGCTTGGCTTTGCGGTCGGGGTTTGGGGTTTGGGGCTTTGGGGCTTTTTGGGCTGGGGCTTTGGGGCTTTGGGGCTTTGGGGCTTTGGGGCTTGGGGCTGGGGCTTTGGGGCTTTGGGCTTTGGGGCTTTGGGGGCTTGGGGGCTTGGGGGTTTGGGGGTTTGGGGGTTTTGGGGTTTCAGGTTTTGGGGTTTGATTCTTCATGCCTGAAGCTACAGGAGGGGTCAGGGTTTCGGGTTTAAGGATTAGGGTTGAGAATTTAGGGTTTAGGGTTTAGGGTTCAGGGTCTGGGTTTAGGGAGGGTTGAGGGTTTAGGGTGTAGGGTCTAGGGTGTAGGTGTAGCGAGAGACTGCAGGACCGACCCATGAAGCCTCAAACCCGTAGCACGGGCCAAAGGGCTTAGGGCTTAGAGGGCCGGGAAGGCCAGGGGAAGGGGGGGGTCGTCGTAACAGCAATCATATGGGGGGGGGGGGGGGGGGGGTAGGGGGGGGTACCTTTGTGGGGTCCTTATTGTAAGGGAATCCTACTATTTGGGGTTCTATACTCGGGGTCCCCTATTTTCGTAAACCCCATCGTCGTGCTCGTTCTCAATATAATTATCGCCATTCAATGGCAGTTTCAACAAAGTGATCAGAATAGAAGTTCCTAAACCCTAAACCCTAAACCCTAAACCCTAAGGAACCAAAAGGAAAAATAAAAGCAGGTAGAGCAGGAATAATAGTTCGGCCGCCTTCAGAGATTCAAAAGATCAAGAATGCTGCCACTGCTGCGGCTGCGACTACTCCTCAGCAGTTTGGGGCAGCCTTGCACATTTCTTAGGGTTTAGGGTTTAGGGTTTAGGGTTTAGGGTGTAGGGTATAGGGTTTAGGGTTTAGGGTTTAGGGTTTGGGGTTTGGGGTTTGGGGTTTAGGGTTTGGGGTTTAGGGTTTAGGGTTTAGAGTTTGGGGTTTAGGGTTAAGGGTTTAGGCTGAGTCTGCTGCAGCACGCATGTCAGCACGGCTCGGTCGTGGAACGTGGCAGACCTCTGACGCGCCTCGATCTCAGATCGAAGGCTAGGGCTTCAGGGTTTTAGGGTTTAGGGTTTAAGGCTTGGGTTCTTGTTGGTTTAGGGTTTTGGGTGTAGGGTTCAGGGTATAGGGTGTAGGGTGTAGGGTTTAGGGTTTAGGGTTTAGGGCTTAGGGCTTAGGGTTTAGGGTTTAGGGTTTAGGGTTTAGTGTAACCACCCCCCCCCCCCCACTGAAATGACAAAAATCGTTTAGGGCTTACTTGGCTTGAAAGCCCCAAGCCGCCAAAGACACCCCCAAAGAGCACCATGCTGGAAACTCCGGAAGATTCTTGAAACATCTCAAAAAAGGACATAACTTGTCAAAACCCTAAACCCTAAACCCTAAACCCTAAACCCTAAACCCTAAACCCTAAACCCTAAACCCTAAACCCTAAACTTCCTCCTTGACTAAGGGGGCAGATGGGGCTCTCCTGGCCTCCATGGGTCCGTACACGTAGGCCACCGCCTCGCTTTCAGTGGTTCTAGGGTTGCAGGCGGAGGGGAAGAGGGTTTAGGGTTTAGGGTTTAGGGTTTAGGGTTTAGGGTTTAGGGTTTAGGGTTTGGGGGTTTGGGGGTTTGGGGTTTGGGGTTTGGGGTTTGGGGTTTGGGGTTTGGGGTTGAGGTTTTGGGGTTTAGGGGTTTGGGGATTAGGGCTTGGGGGGGGGGGGGGAGAAGAGAGGGGAGAGCGGGAAGAGGGGAGAGGGAACGTGGGATTGACGCGGGGCGCTTGGGCTCTAAGAACTGAAGGTTCAGGGAAACCTACATGTGCTAAAACTGGCGGACATTGGGGCAGACGGCAGAGAAAATAAACAAAGCCTGTAGCCCGAAACCCTAAATCCTACAACCCAAGCCCCAAACCCTAAACCTAAACCCGAACCCCAAACAACAGCCTGGACTCTGAAGCATTTTTTG